AGCCTGAATCTCAGTTGTAGTGATTCTAAATTTCTTCTGGCATTTTTCATGACCTTGTAAGAAAGGTGAGGCCTAATCCATTGCTATAATTGCAATGAGGGAAGAGAAGTTAGATGAAAAACATTTTATAGAATCTTAGCTTTGCCATTGGTTTGGCCTTGGATAAAATATTTAACTTCTTTTTATAAATGATTTTATCATTTATAAAGTGGAGATAATACTACTTCATAAGGTTGTCAAGATGGAATAGTTAATATATATATATATATATATATATATATATATATATATATATATATATATATACACACAACACAATAGTAAGAAAATGAACTTTCAGTAAATACTTGCAGAATTATGATTTGGAACTAGATGCACTAGTCCCTTAGATTAGAAATATAATTGGAAATCATAATATTTGAGAAAAATTTGGATTACTGTTTAAGTGGGAAATTAAAATGTAAGTATTCTATTTTTCAGAGGTAGATATTGAGTCATATTGTAAACTTTAAGCCATATTACTTTCTAGATAAACCAAGTAAATTAAATACATATGTAACTTTCTGTTTTTGCACTCTGGGTGTTGGCAAGATATTCAAGAAATAATCCTTCAAGGGAGAGAAGAAGGGAAGGAAAAGAAATGAAAAATAAGAAAGGAAGAAGACAATTTTTTAAAGAATTCTTTTTATTTAAGAGTTTTTGAAGGAGTTTTTGTAAGCCCCTTGAATTGTTGCCCATATAATTATTTAAATGCCATTACTTTTAAAAGATATTTTCCCCATGGTTGTATTTATCACCTGTCATGATCCAGTGTCTGTGTATTCATAGGTGGCTTTCAGAAAGCCTCAACTGTGGCCATCAAGCCACACAGTTGATTGTTCTTGTTCAGAAGGGAAAATGAAATTCCAAATCTAGAAGTGTTTGATATTCTGGCAAAAAACATAGAATGGAAATTAGCTTCATGTCTAAAAATTCAAAGTTGAGTCCTTCTAGCAGGTCACTTGATTGATGAGTAAAATGCCATCCTGTTATTCCCTAAAAAATCTGAGGGAAAAGCAAAACATAAATGACATAAGACTCAGCAGGAAGATAATGTAACTGAAGGCCATTTTGACAGTTATTTTGACATCAAGGTACTAGTCACAGATTAAATCCTGTACACTCAGGCTCTGGTTGGTAGCAGGAAGTGGGCAGTGATGGGAGAGGGGTCATGCATAGGAGGAGAGCAGGACAGCAGGGAGCTCTGAGTGATGTGGCAGCTTCCCTTCCACCAGGAAGAAGGATATTGATGTCAGAGCCTGCTTTTCCTGTAGGAAAATTTCTGAATGTTTTGATTTTCAGAAACTTTAGAACTGAGCAATAAGGGAAGCAATTTTTTTTCAGAGACATAAATGACAGGGAAGTTAATTTCAACAGGGTTGGAGAAGTAATATGAAATGTTCCAAAGACATATAAATAAAAATGGGGTCATTTTAGGCTTATTGCCTTTTTCTAAGGTTTGTTCTCTCATTTGCTAGAAAATGCTCTATTGAGTTTTTTGATATTGAACTTCTGCTATAAAGAGGTAGAAATTCTCTAACTTTATTTGAATCCCAACTGAAAAGTAGAAGTATCCTCCTACAAGTTCCTAACTCCTTCCAGTGACGACATTGACAGCATCCCTCTGAGAAAGGCAACAGACCCTGCTTCTGTTTCTACAGATACATACAGCCCTCTTAATACACATTACCTCCTCCAACCCTGGAGAGAGCTTTAGAATATCTACCGTTTGTCCTTGAATTAATTATCTCCTGAGCTCAGAAAAGGCTGCAAGTTGCTCATGGACACCTCAGGCATAAGAAAACAGCTGCAGCCCTGGGTAAGACAGCACCAAGCTTTCAGCTATGTTCATTCCGTCTGCACCCTGTGGACTCAGATTTCCTGGTGCTGCTCTTCCCTCACCAAGCAGAAGGGCTTCCCTGTCCTGCCTCTGATCCCATCTGAACACCAGTACCCTCGCTCTGGGGAGAGCCCTCTCTTCTGTCTGGAGTGTGTGTCATTTTCCCAGCCCACCAGTTCTGATACTCCTTTAATGATGGCAGGGGTAGAACAGAGATGTGTGTACTGCCTTCTTGCCCACACATTCTCTTGTTCAGATGATGGACTGAAAGGGATCTGGCCCACCCAAGCATAAGCCCCCTGACTTGCTCCCGTGTACTAGGCTTATCTGACTCCCAGTATATCTTTGGGGGCGCTACCTCATTCTATTCTGGTGAGACCTCTCTAGCATGGGCTCTCTCAGAATCCAAGATGGTCACTGGCCATTTGGGTAGCAGCAGCTTAGTTCCATCCCCTTTATACACCTAAGTGGAACAGTCTGTGCCCTCGAGGTTTATAATTGTCTTGTATATTAGGAAGAAACCCAGACCTTAAGTCGTTTTGAGATGGAAAACCCACAGATGTTCCATTAATTGGTTGATAACCTGAGTGGATGAGCCACCTTATCTGTCTGACCCTTCAGACTGTTTCAGCCATGAGTGTATCTAACACCCCATATCATTAAAACTCCACCAATCAAAAGGGTCCTGGTATTTGCCATTTATCAAGAGGGAAAAGATACTTGCTTCAAGGTTTATAAAAGCACCACAGTGAAATGCTTAAATTTATCAAAGTACTTAAAACTTCTCTATTCCTTATCTCAAAGGTCTCTTTTGGCTCTAAGATTTATGATGTTGAGGGTTCCAGAAGAAAATGGAACAGAAGAAATAGGTTGCAGAGAAGAACAGGTGTCTGATAATAACTACACAGTGTACAAACTCAGTACACACAGTTGGCTTAACAAATATCTAACAAACACCTCCCAAGAGCCACCTCTGGTTTAGGGGAAACAGGAGCACCTACCCCAGGGAGCTGTCATTCTCTGGGACCGATCTGGGGATGATAGAGCCCCCAAGACCCACATGACCTTCACAGACCTCACCCAGCTTCTTGGAGCCTCTGTGTCCTTCCTCATTCTAAAGTCAGGACAGATGCTGCCTAGAAGTATACACCAATTGAACTGGTTGTTCTCATAAATAAACTGAAATCAGTTCTAGTTTTCTGTCTTTCCCTCTTGTTTGATATCTTGACTTTTAAACCACTTTATTTTCTTCTCAACTCTTTATTCTAGAAATATGTTCATATAACCAGACTAAAGAGAGTATGCACTAGGGACAGTCTGAAACTGAAGCCTAATTATTTCTCAACTTGTTTTGACTTGGTTTCTATTGAGCTAGTGGAACTGTTTGTGGATTCGGGGATGTCTTTATCACTTGTGCTCATTCAGCCCTATTTATAAAAACCACAGGAAAGCGTTCACACATCTCCCCCATTTTTCAATACTTCATCTTAGTCTTTCTAAGAGGCATACTAATGGCATGGTAATTGATTCTAATAAATGGTTGTTTGGGATTCTCTTATTATACACTAAGTGTGGGGCAAAGCATTTGCCTGCAGGACTCCCTCAGACCTTGGGAAACCCTTGGAGGCAGGTGCTATGAACATCTCCTTTTACAGTCCTTAGAAGTTAATGAAGAGTCCCCAGGTTATATGGTTAGTACTAACGTTTTTTAAGCTAATTATACCTAACAGGGAAATTTTGAAATGCAGCTTGTTGCATTACAGTATTGAAACTTGGCTTCCTCATTATGACTAGAGATAAAGAGAGCATATCATACTGGGTCAGAAGCAGGGTATGACCTTGCCATTGTTCTGCCTCAGGCCATTGTTCTGTTCTTGGAAGAAGAGTGTTTCTTTCCTTTTGCTGTCACTTCAAAAGAGGGAGGTGATGCCCCACCAAGGGAGTCTGGTACTTCTTCTCTGTGGCCCCTTAATTTTCATAGGCACTGCACTTGTCAAATATATTATGAACCATTTTTATTCATATTTATCATCATGCCACGTTTATTTTTTCTTTGAAGCCCTGGAGCTGAGCGCTTATGGGGCAGAAACCAAAAATGTTCACTGAATATACATATTTTGAAAATGCTCTGTCCATCCTCATTTCCTTTAGTAGCTCATTATGTATTCATGAACCACTGAAATTATCCTTGAGGCTTGTTCCAAACTTGTACCACATCATAAGTTAACAAAGAGTATAAGTTTACTCCGTGCGAGGTAAAATAGTGCTTTCTTCTATTTGCTCCAAAAGTAGTTCCTACAAGTTACCTGGAATTGAACCTTTGTATGCAGTCAGTGGGAATGTAAATTGGTACAGCCATTATGGAAAACAGCAAACAGGCTTCTCAAAAAGTTACAAATAGAACTGCCATATATTCCAGCAACCCCTCTTATGGGTGTATCCCTAAAGGAAGTGAGATCAGTACCTTGAAGACATATGTGTGCTTCCAAGTTCATTTGCACCACTTTTGAAATAGCCGAGCTACAGTAACAGCCTAGATGTCTGTAAACAGATAAACAGACAAAGAAATCGTAATATGTGCATGCAGTGGAATGTTATCAGCCTAAAAAAGGGTATCCTTGTATTTGCAAAAACTTGGATGAATCTGGAACACATTTAGTGAAATAAAACAGACACAGAAAAAAACAATTACTAACCTGCACAACCCCACTTAAATGCAGAATTTAGGAAAGTGAGAAAAAGGTGAGTAGAATGTTGTTTCTCAGGGGACAGGTGCTAAGGGAAACGAGATATTGGTCAAGGGGTGTAAACTTGAAGTTATAAGTTGTGGAGACCTAATGTACAGCACGGGGACTGTAATGACTATTGAATACTGGAAATACGGTAAGGGAGTAGACTTGAGGTGCTCTCATGACACACACAAAAGGGAAACTGTGAGGAGATGGATACGTCCATTTGTTTGACAGTAATAGTCATTTCAATGTCCACATGTTGTGCTCAAGTACAATTTTTATTAAAAAATTTCACAGAATTCTAACATAACAACACTATTAGCCTATCTTTTGTTGTATTGTGGTGTTTTTTTGTTTTTTTTTTTTAATGATTCTTTCATGTTTTTCAGGAAGGTGATGTCTGGCCCAACACATCAGCTGAAATCACTGTGTACTTCAACCCTGTGGAGGCCAAGTGCTATCAACAGACCATTTATTGTGAAATTTCAGGTACAGACTTTCTCTGTATGGAAAACTCATTACCAGGTGCCTGAAGCATGAAGTAGTGCAGCTGAATGTGTGTGTGTGTGTGTGTAGGCACGCACACAGGCTGTGAGCACCACACAATATCTATGGAGAAATATTGGAGTCAAGATGTGTCCTGTTCACTTCCTCCTAGAAAAGATCAAACTTTAAAGGGTCTTACAATTGTGGTGGTGGGAGAGGGGAATAGGAAACCCATGGATTTAAGTTTCCCCTTGATACAGTAAGATTATTACTTATGACAGATTTTCACAGTTTTTTTTATTGTTGTTGTTGTTGTTGTTCTTTTCATAGTACCTTGTTACTAATTTTCATCTTTTCAAGTTTTGTGCTAAATGGGATGAGAGGCAGTCTGGCAGAGGCCAAAGGCCACAAGGAGAGTATTACAAGAAAGGTGGCCATCTGATAGCATCAGTAAATTGGAAAAATGCAGAAGAATTAAGCAGAAGAGTAAATATATGGAGAATGATGGGTGCAATAATTTTCACTCAGGGATACATGGAAAAGAAAGCTAAGATAAATACTTTGCTATTGGGATGGAGGTGGATTTGTCATGTTGTTGATGAGTTTAGACAGATACAGAGTAAGTTCATATGGAAACACATCTTTGCATATGTTCATACATATAGATATTTCCTAGAAATGTCCATTGACTGGTCCTAAAAGTTGCTTGGTTTCAAAATACCACTCTCCACTAATGGAACAGGCTGATTCCAGATCTGGTACAGGGAAAGAACAAAGTGAGCCTGGAACATCCTCTTGTGCCAGAAAGTAAGGAAGTGCTCGAAGAATGTTGGGGACTTGTCAAAATGACACAGAAACCAGCAAAGGGTCCCCACTGCTAAAGCTGGAACAAGTTGAGAATCAAAATAAATGATGCTACTAATAGATTATAGTCCACTGAGTGAATAGGAATCTGGGAATCAATTTAATTAAAATGTACCATTTGGCAACTATCACAGTAATGACCAATACAGGTGAAACACATGAGTGGACCTTAATGTAGGGGGTGAAAGTGGGGTGTGTAAAAGGACTCTATGTAAGCTCAAAATATCTTTCCTTGAAATACTTACCAATTATGGAGAGAGAAAACTCACTTTACAATGAAGAAACCTGGTAGATGTTATCTTAATTAATACCAGTGGTAACAGAACCAATCAATACAATAATATTAGGGCCAAACTACCTAATTTGGATTTGATCAAGCGGAAACCTAGGCTAATCAAATTGACAAACAAAATTAAATGACCAGTCTGTAATCTTCACAAATACCAAGTACATGAAAGTTAAGAAAGGACGGAAGACCTGTTCTAGACTGAGAGAGGCTCAAGGTGGTAACTGGGTGCCACAGACCATCCTGGCTTGGATCTTTTGCTATGATGGAAATTAACTGGGCAAAGAATGTAGGAAGTACAATTCCTATTGTACTTCTCTGGAAGTATTTTAAAACTCTTTCTTCTGTATTTAAAAAATGTTTGAGAATTTTTTTAAAAAAGCCAATATCGACAAATAAGTGAAATATGTAGAGGGTAAAATTATTAAGCTAAATAGCAGGCTATTTCTCAGTACTGCTTCCAAGAAGAAACACTTTTAGCTATTTATTGTGATGGTAATTTTTATTATTAACCCTATGCTATTTTATTGATTTATTAACTTCACTCATTTCATTTTAACCTCCAGTATGAAAGATGAGCATTTAGTATACTTATCTCTTCTCTTTCCTGGGTTATTGAGTTATAACTTATATGCAGTGAAATGCACCCTTTCTTGGAGTACAGTTCTATGAATTTTGACAAATCCAAATAGTCATGTAACTGCTGTTAAATTTGAGATACAGAAAATCCCCATCACCCCGTAACATTCCCTCAGGCCTCTTTGCAGGCATCCCAATCCCTGGCAACCCAATTATTTTTATCATATTTTCTTTTATAAATTGTTTGCAGCCTTCAATAACATGCTTACACCCCAATTTTTTGTTCTCTCAACTTTGTAGCATCTCTTGATGTATAAGGACGTTAGCACAGCTAACCTGCCTGCCACCATTCCACTACCCTTTTCCCCACTGTCTTCTGTGAGTTGTTCCACTTTTACAATATCATTATTGATACCCATAGCTGCGTCTTCTATATACTGTACTTACACCTTCTGTTTGCTCTACGTAAATATTATTCACTGATGGGCCAAGTTATCTGGTTACATTTTATCCTGTTAGTCCAAAGTTCTGACCCTTCCTCACACAAAGCATATTCCTAAGGTCTGTATCAAACAGATGTTCTTTCTCTTCAATCCTTCAGTTACTCATAATTATGCCTCTTGGTAGTTTGCTTCATAATTGACCTGGCTCTTTTGTACAGCTTTTTGGTTCTTCCCCCATGGTTTCTAATTCCTTATTTATTTGTTTGTTTTTCCTCCTATCTAATTTAGAATCCATTCTCTTCTCTTTGGAGACATTTTTCTCAGAGCCTACCAGCTTCTTATTCTAATTCAGATTCATCATCTCCCAAGTAGTCATTACCGGGAATTTAAAAAAATTCTTTGTATATGTGTTCCATCACATCTTTTGATGCTCACTCTGGTCTAGTAGCTTCCTCAAGGAAGGTTTGTAGAAGTAGGAACTGATCCTCAAATGCCTGAAAATGTCTTCTGTGGTCTTCCTACTTGCCTGAGAGTTCAGCTGATGACAGAGTCCTGAGTTCAAAATAATTTCTCTTTGGAACACCAAAGAAATTGTGCTGTGTTAATTGTAAAAATGCCAAAGCACAAATATCGTCTAATTCTCATTTTTGTTAGGTGCCCTGTAATTTCCCTCAGGATGTTTTTAGGTTTCTTTTTGTACTTGGGCCCTGAAATGTGACGAAGCCCTTGCCAGGAGTGGGTTGTTCTCATCCATCCTCCTCTGCTTTCTATGAGCCACGTGAGTCTAATGACTCATGTGTCACTTCAGCTTTGGGGAATTCTATTTCATTTATTTAATATTCTTTCTTCCATTTATTTTTCATTTTTATTGGTACATTTTAATTATACATAATAGTGGCATTCATTGTTATATATTCATACATACATCCAATATAACAATGTAATTTGGTTAATTTAGTTCCCTAGTACCTCTCATTTTCTCTTTCCTCCTCCCTCCATAAATCCCCTTCCTCTAATCTATTGGTCTCCCTTTTACTTTTTTTTCCCTATGTGATTATTTATTTTTTATTCTTTGTACATAAACATGACAGTAGAGTATATTTTGACATATTATACATACATGGAGTATAATTACTCTAATTAGGATCTCATTCTTGTGGTTGAACATGATGTGGAATTTCACTGGTTGTGTATTTATACATGAACACAGGAAAGTGATATCTGTCTGATTCATTCTGCTGTCATTCCTATTCCCATCCCCTCTCCCTTCCCTTCATCCCCTTTGTCTAATAAGGGGGTGGTGGATAGAAGTTCCTTCTATTTTTATGAGATCATTTTTTTCATCTGAAAAACTTACAATTCAAAGAACAAGATTTTAACTACCAACATTACTGATAAGTGACATTAAATATAATTCAAAGCTGTTTAGAAAGGATGCCTAGAGAGATGTTGATATTCACTAGTCAGGAAATTCCAGGATGGCAGGATACACTGCGTAGCTGTAGCTCTCCTCAGCCCCCAGCAGACCTGCGGCCAGCTCTTGGGTGGAGTCAGTTGTCCAGAGCTTCTTCCCCTAGCTTAAATAGTCCATTTGGTATATTGCTTTTCTTTGATTATTCACACTGGCAATTTTTCCCTTTCATACAGATAACACAAACCCATGTTATTCTTCAACTTGATTTTTTTCTCTTTACAGTTGAGGCTTTCCTTGCCTGTCTTGAACAGGTTCAAGAAAACATTAAGCCATAGCAGTTTCAGGGCATCTTTCATTTTTTGCAAAAGTACAAGCTTGTGTTACTCAAAACCTTGGAATAGTTCTGTTTTTCTTTTTCTTTATTCCTCAGTCAGATAAAGCAGGGTGTCGAGTGCTAAACTATAGTATTTGCCAATTGCTTTGCAAGAAACTGAGCTCTTATTTTTCTGACATATATCCTAGCCATCTTTTATTTCTGCAGTCATATTGTTAACTCTGTAGATCCCCTTTTGTTCTCTGCTCCTTTTTGAATGCAAAGTATCCTCATTTATCAGAGGATAATAATTTGAACTTTCATTTATCATAAAAAGAATGTTGTATGTTCTGTGGATTGCCTATAATATCAGTTATGTTTGCCCTTCATGCATGCATGGGGTTTCTTCCAATGCCTTCTGGTCTATGGTTGTCAATTTGTATATAAGAATAAGAAAATGAGGTTAATTTCACAAGTAGTACAATGATTCTTACATGTAGGTCTCCCAGTAAAGTATGTGTGCTGTGGTTATTTTAAACCTGGAGGTTGAGTACTAAGAGTGCACAATCACTGAAGTCCCTTCAGTTGCAAAAATTCCACTATTCTTCCATATCATGCATGTTTTTCCAAATTTTTATTGGTGTGTTACAGTTGTACATAGTGGTAGGATTTGTTACATATTCATACATATACACAATATAACAATATAGTTTGATCAATATCATTCCCCAGTATTTCCCCATTCTCTCTCCTCTTCCTTCCCCCTAATCCCTTCTTCTACGATCTCCCTTTGATTTTCATAAGATTCCTACACTACCTTCCTTTTATTTTTTTTTCTGTCTTCGACATATCAGTGAAAACATACCATCCTTTACCTCAGTTTGACTTATTTTACTTGAATGGTCTCAAGTTCCATACATTTTCCTGCAAATGACATAGTTTAATTTTTCTTTATGGCAGAATAAAACTCCATTGTTTATTTATGCCACATTTTCTTTATCTATTCATTCATTGATGGATATATAGGCTGGTTCCATAGTTTGGTTATTGCGAATTGTGCTGCTATAAACATGAGTATGCACATATCACTGTAGTATGATGACT